TGGCCGCTCTAGCCCGGACTTTAACCTAGGATGCTCTAGCTTGCTCATCACTTCCATCCGGGAGAAGACTGTTAAGGCGAAGCGAAACACGTCGAGGAGTTTGGTCTGGGTGGAAAAGGTTTTTCTAGGTACCTACGTTGTCGACCTTGGTTTTTACACCGACAGCTGTGTATCAAGAAATCCAAGTTAAACTCCAGAAATCCCCTGGACTCGTGGTTCTTGATGCCCTAATTGTCTGCAGAGCGACCCCTTGCGCCATCTGAGAGTTTAGAGTCAACTAATAGCATACTCCATATGTCGTTCCCGTACATTAATTATAAAGAAATCCGAATTAAACACCAGAAACCCCCTGGACTCATGGTTCTTGATGCCCTAATTGTCTGCAGAGCGACGCCTTGCGCCATCTGAGAGTTTAGAGTCAACTAACAGCATACCCCATATGTCGTTCCCGTACATTAATTATAAAGAAATCCGAATTAAACACCAGAAACCCCCTGGACTCGTGGTACTTGATGCCCTAATTGTCTGCAGAGCGACCCCTTGCGCCATCTGAGAGTTTAGAGTCAACTAATAGCATACCCCATATGTCGTTCCCGTACATTAATTACAAAGAAATCCGAATTAAACTCCAGAAATCCCCTGGACTCGTGGTTCTTGATGCCCTAATTGTCTGCGGAGTGACGCCTTGCGCCATCTGAGATTCTAGAGTCAACTAATGGCACAAAGTTTGCTCTGTAGGCTGTAGCGACAGAAAACTCTAGAGTATCTGGGACGACGCTCTAATATCAACATGGCGTCCATGAGATAAGACGCCAGAAAGCGCTCGCCTCCCTTCGGAGACGAAACCTCCCATGTGGTCTCATCCCCATCTCGTAGGGAGTTCGGTCGCGGATACCGCTTATAGGGATAATCTCGCCGCCTAGGGACTTTAGCGCCGAGGACGATAAGGCCGGCAGGAAAGCTCGTTCGCTTTACGTCGTTTCGGGAATTTGTTCAGCTCTCCACGTGCATGAGCTTAATCCCCTGCATGGAATTCCGGACACGGGTTCTCCACGGCCCGCCGCCTTGGAGACTCAAGATCATCGAGCTTACGTCACGGAGCTTTCGAGCTCGTAATGCAGACGGGCTCAACGCTGGTGCCGGAGATAACCTGGACAAACGGACACTGCAAATCTGAAGATTTACGGTTTCATCCTAACTAGTCGGGGAAAGATTTCGGAGTCTGTCCGGAAGTTACAGCGCCACCCATCAGGCGGCGACACTTAGGAGGAATCTCTGGTGTCTCGTTTAATGATAGGTTAGTGTGCTGAAGCATGGACAAGCGGACAATTTTTGCTTGGCCAGTGGTTTGGACTAATTCCAAGTTGCAACACCCTGATCAGGACCAAATCTGGCATTGTCATTGGGTGGACGTAAAATATTCTAGCTACGATGTTATTGAAATTCATAAAAGTCACCTGTGTCTAGGACATGAGGTTGTAGTAAAATGAATACATTCAGGCTAAACTTCATTAGTCCTATCAGTGTATCAGTACCCTGGCTAACAATGTGTGACACCCCAATATAGATCTGATCAGCTCCTGGTTATTACAATTATTATCCTAGCTAAGTCCCTAGCAGAATTTCTACATGACTGATTGTGAGTGGCGATCCGATAAAGACACCACCGTATCGTCGGAAGTGACTTCATGAGCCCTATCAACATATCAGTACCCTAACAATGTCTGACACCCCAATATAGTCCTGATCAGCACCTAGTTATCACAATTAGCATCCTAGCTAAGTCCCTAGCAGGATTTCTACATGACTGATTGTGAGTGGCGATCCGATAAAGACAACACCGTGTCATCGGAAGTGACTTCATGAGCCCTATCAACACATCAGTACCCTAACAATGTGTGACACCCCAAAATAGACCCGATCAGCACCTAGTTATCAACAATTATCATCCTAGCTAAGTTCCTAGCAGAATTTCTACATGGCTGAGTAGCGATCCGATAAAGACACCACCGCTTCACCCGGAAGTGACCAATCCTTTCGGTACAGAGCTTCCAATATGGCGTCCCTCGAACATCACATCCGGGTCCGTAATTGCAGCACAGGTGCGGCCCGATTTTCAATCGGCGATGCACTAATGCTCGCAACTTGGTAACGGTTGGCTCTTCGTTCTACCAATCAGCGAGTAGCGACGGTTTTCGAGGCCCTCGAGCGGATTAATCGCATTGCCGCGGTTGCGAGCGCGTCCGGCCCCCCCAGGAGGTGGTAATTACACGAGATTTTGCTTGCCGAAGCGCGATCTGTTATTTTCCCGCCTGCTTTAGGGGGGGGGGGGCGTTAAAAAAGTCCTGTACAACCGCGATACGCGCCCCTGCTGGTCCGGCATCCGCCGAGCCGGGTTTAATGCGTTATCTCTTCCGCTCGCGGTTCGATCTGCGCGCCACCGCGGCCGACCTCGGTAACTACTAAGTCCGGTGGCGCCCTCTCGCCTGATTTATCACAGGATACGGCCATTTTCGGCCATTTCCTCGGCCGAAAATCGGAGCTACGGGATAGGGGACACACAATGTGTCTCGGAAGAGCGACGTACATTTTATGTACTGGGGTTTGTGTAATTAAATGCCTAACGACGTATGTGGTTTGTAGATTCTTGCCTAATGAAATATTTTCTTTCATAATAGTGTGAGCTTTGGCTTAGGTATTCCCTCCCATGAAGTATTTCGCCATTATGGACGAGAGCTTCTCGCTGATGACCTCAGGGGTTGGTGGACGAAAACAAACGTTTTAGTATTCGGCCTTCCCTGAAGTGGAAATTTGTTGATGACATATCATTAACACTATCATTATCACTAACACATCATTGACATTATCACCGCAACACCGTATTCTTTCAGAAATGCAGGAAGTTCATCCTGAAAATTTCATGCGGATCCTTCAAAGTACATCCCACAGTCCCAAATTCTTCTGTCATGATGCATGGTTATATGCATTTGGCCGCGACTCTGTACAGATGACAAGGTATTTGTTGCAATGACTAAAACACTCGCAAATTCACCTTCGATGTCATTCCCTGATTTATTTGTCATCATCATTGACATTATCACCGCAACACCGTATTCTTCCAGAAATGCAGGAAGTTCATCTTGAAAATTTCATGCGGATCCCTCAAAGTACATCCCAGAGTCCCAAATTCTTCTGTCATGATGCATGGTTATATGCATTTGGCCGCGACTGAAAGTCCGCCTAGACTGAAATTTCTTTTTATGGAAGACACGTCGCGAATCTATACAGATTTTACATTATGTATTCCGCAGGCCGGTGCAGTTCTCTTCCTCCTCGGATGCACCGAAAGCTCGCGCTTGGCTGGTACGATGCCAGAGTGCAATCGATCTCTTCCGTTTCGCCGAAGAAATTGCATACGTACGATGCACCGCGTGCGAACCACGACGGGAAACACTGAATCAATGCATTCACCCCCTGGCGTCACTTCCGCCGCGATTTACGCCCCTGCCGAGAGGAAAAGTTCCCGACGAACTTCCGGTGGCCCTGCCTTGCCACCGAAGATCTACGCGGTCATTTTTGGGGACCCCGCGACAGCCGGATTAATAAATCATTTACCCAAGGTGCCCTCTGTAAACGTTTGTTACCGAGGGTATCCCAGACATTTGGAACGCAACAGCGAGTATACAGATTTCATCGGGTTGATTTAATGAGAGGGAACCTAGATAGGCAAAGGGATGCAGAGGACAGTAACTTCCTGGCACCTTCATCGTCCTCTAACTACAATGTCTTTTCCTGAAATCGAGAGGATTTTTCGTATGCGAAAGTATGAACTCGAAAATTGGATGCCAGGTCCAGCATCTACCTGGTGATCATCAGCGAACAGCTCCAAACTTCAACAATTCTACTGGCAACAACTTCGTCAGTCGAAAGGACAGTAACCTCGTCGCACCTTCCCGATCCTCCAGCTCCAAACTCTTTCCCTGAAATCGAGAGGAAATTTCACGCGCAAAAATTGATCGTATGAACTCGAAAATTAAGTCCCAGGTCCAGCATCTTCCTACTGATCGTCAGCGAACAGCTCCAAACTTCAACAACTCCGTCAGTCGAAAGGACAGTATCCTCGTCGCATCTCCTCGTTCTCCAGCTCCAAAGTCTTTCCCTGAAATCGAGAGGAGATTTCAGGCGCAAAAGTTCATTGTATGAACTCGAAAACTAAATCCCAGGTCTAGTATCATCCTACTGATCATCAACGAACAGCTCCAGACTTCAACAATTCTACTGGCAACAACTTCGTCAGTCGAAAGGACAGTAACCTCGTCGCACCTTCCCGATCCTCCAGCTCCAAACTCTTTTCCTGAAATCGAGAGGACTTGACTATCGGTTCTCGAGATTCGGGAGGAGGGCTCCGGGGAACTCACGGGGAAGCTCTTTTGTGTCCCTCGGGAACACTTCCGCCCGATGGAGGAAGAAAACGGACTCGAATCGAGAGCGGAGCCGTGGGCTCCTGTAATTGTGCAACTTCGTGGCGACGCAACGAAACAATAACCGCCAGGAAATCGTATCAAACAATACCGGGGGAAGATTGTATCTGGCATTGTGAGCCACCGACAACGTGTCCCTGGCAAACGGCTCCGGCGGACATTACCGCTTTTTACGCCGACCGAAGCCTCCCTTCAGGAACTCCTTCGACATCCTGAAAGGAAGAATCGAGATGCACTCGATGTGCAAACCTTCCACCACGATAACGACACACTTCTGTCGATTGTTTCGCTGCCACTGAAGATAACCTTCCTGGGAAGATTTCGACCATCTTTGTAATCCCACGTTCATGAAATTCCAGTCATGTTGGTCTCTATGAACAAAGTACTTTGTCGTACCTTGATTTGTGATAACATCATGACACATTTTGCCTATCATTTCCTGCGCTGTCAAATTAAGCTACTTATTAAAGAGATTACCTACTGATGGCGTTCATACAATCCATACAATCACGACTATTCTTATCTACAAAGACGTGCAAATATAATTCAAATAATTGTTTACAGTATTTATATAATTTTCAACGCATCGGAACTTCTAGGACACTTCTGGAATAAATAAGACCCTATCAATTTGTTTTACTTTTCTTGGAGGACCTCGCAGAAGTGGCGGCGAGGAAGATGCGTCTTGAAATGTTAATAACTATAAAGGATATTAAAATCGCTGCCAAAGTTGCTATGGAGGCGAAGAAAGCTATGATATCTCGATCGAATCTCTGATGCCATGGCTCATCTGCAGTTGTAGAATGTAGATGAGACATGTCTCCTTTATGGCGTATCACGTATTCCGTCCACCACACAGCAGTCTCCCAAGACTCAGATGGTTTATCCGCAATCAAAGAGTGGAGTTCAACCATCCGCTTTTTATACCTACAAGGAATTTGTTTAATGCAAATATCACAAGTCGTAAAACTTAGGTGGGTTAGTGGGATCTGTTTTAATTAAATTGTGTTTAAATGAGAATTAAGGCGAAAAAATGAAATCTCCCGAGCATCGCGTTCTTCCTCAGTGCGGAAATTAGAAAATGTGAATTAAGAAACTCGGAAGACGCATTTCATCAACATCGTGCATCATTGCACTTTTTTCCTGGGTTTTTTGAGCTATGAACGAATTAGAATGAACACGAAGATGATGAGCAGAGAAGTGGATGTGGAAAAATTTCAAATGAAAATTATAAAATGTGAATTAAAACACTCGGAAGACGCATTTCATCAACACCGTGCATCATTGCACTTTTTTCCTGGGTTTTTCGAGATATGAACGAATTAGGATGAACACGAAGATGATGATAAAATTAGAAAATGTGAATTAAGAAACTCGGAAGACACATTTCATCAACATCGTGCATCATTGCACTTTTTTCCTGGGTTTTTTGAGCTATGAACGAATTAGGATGAACACGAAGATGGTGAGTAGAGAAGGACAGAACCTGGGATTGATGATAAGGTCCCTGATTGCCTCTTCAAACTCGGATCTCTTCAAGTCAATAATTTCCAGACATCTCGCCACCCCGAGAGACACCAATTTCGAAACCTGCCAATCTTGGTCAGCTAAAATAGGCATTCCCAAAAGAGGCACTGAATTGTTAATCGCTTCTTCAGTGCTTTGCAAACCACCCTGGTAGATGAAAAGTTTAATATTGGGATGGGCTGAAATAAAGAAACGATCCGTAAAACGATCCTTTCCGAAAAAATGCTGCAAGCGAGTCCCCCAATAAACATTTGCTTGTTCCAAACGTGCATTTGGAACAACCAAATATTTCCCTAAACCGGAAAGCTTCCACATAGTACCCTATAGTCACCCTATAAACATTTGATTGTTCGAAACATGCGTTTGGAACAATCAAACGATTCCCTAAACAGGAAAGCTTCCAAATAGTAATTCCAGTAGGATAAAATCATTGCCAAGTATTTTTCCCTATTCGTTGCTAAATATCACAGAAGAGAGTTTTTTTTAAGATGTCTCGTGGATTTCATCTGATTTTCAACATTTTCAAAGAAACTACACAAAGGACGGATTAGAGATAATGAAACGTGGCAATTGTGATCACATCATTACGGCTGATTACCTAGAACCTTTTTCTGTGACACCCACTCTACAATGCGGACATTTCCCTTCTTCTCCAGGAAACTATTTTCCGAGGCCTTCCAAAGCACTCGCCACGGCAGACCGGAGAACACCTCGTAGAACAATTCCTTTGTTTCCATTGGCAACATATTGTTCGTCACAGTTGACCCAAGACTCGCGTAGATAAATCCTTCATTAGCATCGTCTAAGAACTTCTGAAGATCCTACATGAGAAACGCAACCGAATGTTATTTGCAATCCCAGACAGACAATTGACGCAAAACTTGCATGAAATCTGCCTAATAGAAGATCATGAAACGAGTCATGAAGATGTTGCTTATGAACCCTCATTTGGAACTCTAATCTGCAGGACACAATGATGAACCAGAAATACTTAGTTATGAAACAAAGTTAAGTACAAGCAATGTCTAAATGTATGGCTAGATTAATCTCACGCATTGTTGATAAACAATTGCAGCGTCCATAATTCCCAATGTAGACTGTAAAAGACATCAACTTCAATATAAATGAGACGCGCCAACTTCTGTTCCCCTTTGAGTATCCACCACGACATTCCCACCAAAAAGGGTGTAGATGAATGTGACTTCATCGACGTGGATTAAATTTCATAGCGCCTTTCATATCCTCTTAATAGTTCAAACGAAAGGATGTACTTCTGGCAAAGGTGGCGGCTTCTTTAACTCCACCTGGATGCCACCTATGAAGACGACTTTCGGGACGATAGGTGCACCTTCCGAGATTGGCAACTGATGGTTCACCAGCAACATTCAATTTCATAGCGCCTTTCATATCCTCTTAACAGTTCAAACGAAAGGATGTACTTCTGGCAAAGGTGGCGGCTTCTTTAACTCCACCTGGATGCCACCTATGTAGACGACTTTCGGGGCGATAAGCGCAGCTTCCGAGATTGGCAACTGTTGGTTCACCATCAACAGACTCATGTTCTTCTCGATGTCCCCGATGTAGGGCATATCGTGACCGAGGTACTTCCTCGCCAATCTGTCCAACTCGCCCATGTAATTAGCCCGGATATCGTAGATGAGCCGCCAAACTTCAACGAAATTAACCACTCTTTTCCAAAATGGTAAGTTGATGCCGGATCGCCTCTGAAGCTCCCACATGGAAGGATGAGATGTCATTACTGGTTCACCAATGGAGTATCGATTCAAGCTGGACTCACCCAGCGATGTGACACCTAGATTGATCAGAAGACAAATGAAAAGTGGCCCACTGTCTTTATAAAATTGTCTACACGCTTCGTAAAACCGGGAATAATGTGATATCCGTGATAGTTAATTGAAATGGCACAGCAAGTGTGCCACACTATGACTCTAAAACGAAGTTAGTGGGACAATTTCGAGTGGAAGTGCTTTATTTGCGTTCCCTGATGGTATCAGCATCAAGCAATATCCCTGGTTCACCAATTCAAGCTGGAAACACCTAGCGACGTGACACCTACATTGATCAGAAGACAAATGAAAAGTGGGGCCCACTGTCTTTATAAAATTGTCTACACGCTTCGTAAAACCGGGAATAATGTGATATCCGTGATAGTTGAAAGCCACATTACTTATGCATCAACCTAATATACCCGCGGGATTTCTTACACAACTCCATCTTACCTATTAGAGGAGCATTGAACCTCCAAGCGAAACTATACATCGCGTGCCAACAAAAGACTTCAACAAAGACCACATCAAATCTCTGGACTTCAGACTCATACAGCTTCCTGACGTTCGGGTCCTCGAAGATGCTCACAACTGCACTTCCCATGCCATCGAAAACTTTCGGAACTATGTCCACCCAAGAAGATGTCCGTCGCCACTCGATGTAATTAACGTCCGGTAAATGTTCACGAGCGAACCCCAAGTCGATCTCTGTGAAGTTCCTCAGGGTGGGATCCCCGACAGGGTGTGTGGTGAGCATCACGATTTCGTGCCCACGTTTGTTCAGAGCCAACATCAGTGCATGGAAGACCCTCTGATGACTGTAAGCTGCTGTCGGGAATATCCCGAGAATCCTCGCACCATCAGTTTCCCAGTTTTTTCGAATGGCAAACCACACAAAGACTATAAGGACCCTTTTCATCTTCGCGTCTATGCAGCCAGGTCGAGTGAAGCTATTGCGCGCTGTGTGTCGCGATGCATCAATGACCACTTTTTTATTGTTCCCCCCAATATGTGATCTTCTAACTCGTGTGTTAATTGTGTGATCGAAGAGGTTTTTCTGCCCTGCTTGTTCCTAGAGCAGAAGATTGACTGAACTGACTTTGAACAATGGACAAATTCTTGGTGGCAATTCAAAGCCGCCGTTTGTCGCAATAGGGTACCTTATGACAATTGACGTGTTGGGGATCCAGACATTCTGGCTATTGTCTAACAGTGTGTTAATTGTGTGGTCGCAGAGGTTTTCCTGTCCCGCTTGTTCCTAGAGCTTTGAACAATGGACAAATTGTTGGTTGCAATTCAAAGCCGTCGTTTATCGCAATAGGGTACCTTATGACAATTGACGCGTTGGGGATCCAGACATTCTGGCTATTGTGTAACTCGTGTGTTAATTGTGTGATCGCAGACGTTTCCCTGCCCCGCTTGTTCCTAGAGCAGAAGATTGACTGAACTGACTTTGAACAATGGACAAATTCTTGGTTGCAATTCAAAGCCGCCGTTTATCGTAATGGGGTACCTTATGACAATTGACGAGTTGGGAATAAGTCATTCTGGCATATCGGTAATGCATCGAATTTAATTAAGATTAGCAATAAGGAGACCATGCTAAAATAGGATTCCCTTAATTACCACGTTTCATTGTGCGGTCAGATACATATACTGTTCTAAGAGATGGAATTAAAGGACAGGCTAGTTCATTCTGACGTACCGATTATGAAATTCTACCAGATTGCATGCCCTATCATGTGACGCTATGACGAGAGATTTCATTTCGGATATTCATCCTCGATCAGTATGTAAAAATAATACCGGCAAGATTGCTTATCTTTCTGTCCCCTACCAGATATCGCGGAAATTTAAATTCTCATGCTGCTTATCTATTCTAATTTAGGTTAGAGTACTTAGAAGCGCTTTGTAGTCACCTTCTGCTAAGTGGAAGTAGTAATTACTTTCCACCCGACTTCCGGCATTGAAAGAAACGAATAACCACTTATCATAATCTTTACCCGATTTTAAGAAAATTCCTGAATAGTTCTCTTGGTCTCTTTACTCTTCATGTCTCAGCAGATCGATCGCTCGATCGATCAGCGATTTCTGGATCGGTGACACCGACTTGGCGGCGCATGCGCAAGTGAGGTGTTGGCCAATTTCGCGGCTCTCTCGATTGTCGCGGCCCTTCCCCCTTCCCCCTGTCAGCCATGAAAATTGATTTCACGTGATTAGAGGCAGGTTACGGTCAATTTGCCGGCGATATGCAAACCGGCTGGAAGTGAAACCATTTTCGCCCAGAAAGTGAAAGTGGAGGCGCCTACCCAACCATGGCGAGGCCATGGCTCGCGAAGATAAAAAACGTGAAAAGGACGAAAATGGCAAGGAAACAAAAGAGAAGAGAACGCGTCGATGCCCCGAGAGATAAACCTAGTCAAATTAACTCCTTTTCACTACATTTTATAGGACAATATGGAGCGAAATGCATTTCCTAGCAAAATGAATAAATTAAATTAAATTGGAATTGAATTATAAAAATTAGTATTGTCAATTTCCCATGCGATAGTTGAACTGAACGATTTAATTCGACGTTACGTTCCTGATAAATCGACGTTTAGAGTAAAGGGACCTAGCGTTTAGTAGAGGCCAAATGAACTTGTCTCGAAACGCTTCCGCATCTTTTCATCAATGATTGCATTGATTTATATTTCCGTGACTGTGGTACCAAGTCCATGACATAACTATCACAAGAATGAGAGAACAATTAAACGACAGTAAAAAGACCTAGCGTCTAGTAGAGGCCTATGAACTTGTCTCGAAACGCTTCCCCATCTTTTCATCAATGATTGCATTGATTTATGTTTCCGTATCTGTGGTACCAAGTCCATGACAAACCCATCACAAGAATGGAAGAACAATTCAGCGACATGGATGTTATAAAAGGAAATAGTCCGGAATGGGACTGGAAATGGAAGAAACTCTGTGCGAAAAGTTGGCCCCACACGCAGAAGGTCCTTTACATTACGCGTTTCGATCGTCCAAGGAAGGAAACCCCTTTGCACCCAAAGGACCTCATCTCGCGATCGACGGGCTTCGAAGGAAGTTGGCTGAAATCGAGGGTCGTGCCTTCAAGACTCTTTACCGGCAAATGAAGTTCCAGCTTTCGATGCGGAGTAATCGAGGAGTATTACTCCCGGGAAATATCCCTTTTCCCTGGGTCAAAGAGAAAAAGCCGAGGGTAGTAACGGGGGCGAAGCTGGTCCCGGTCCTCCCAGTGCGGGAATCGAGTCGAACGTAACTCATTACGGGTGCACACCATTTTTATTCCCAATTCTCCAGAGCCTACGTTCCTTTAATCAACCGGGACGGCGGCTCGCCTTCGGAATTATCCTGTCGGACTTCCGAGATCGATTCCTTGGGTGATCCATCGCATCGGTAGACAGGTTCCTCGCCTCCCTCTGGAGAAGCTTCTTCCCGGGGAGACATTTGCCTTATCCCCAGGATCAGGGAATGAAGATGAGATTATGTATTCGCAGATCTAATTTCAGTACCGAGATGCCGGGGAAGAATGGATCGTAGAAGTTATTAGAATCTCTGATTCATCAGGAGCTTTCAATAGGGATATGTCTGCAACGTGTTCCTGTCGTTGAACAATTGCTTGGATTCAAACCTGTGCAACCTGTCCAATGTGTCCATGACGGACTGATCTCCTTGATTCTTCATGATATCCATGATATGGGAATATGCCTACCGACGTGTTCCTGCCGCTGAACAATTGCTTGGATTCAAACCTATCCAGTATGTCCATGATGGACCCTCATTGATCTCTTTGATTGTTCATGATATCCATGATTTGGGAATATGCCTCCAACGTGTTCCTGCCGCTGAACAATTGCTTGGATTCAAACCTATCCAGTATGTCTATGATGAACCCTCATTGATCTCTTTGATTGTTCATGATATCCATGATTTGGGAATATGCCTCCCGACGTGTTCCTGCCGCTGAACAATTGCTTGGATTCAAACCTATCCAGTATGTCCATGATGGACCCTCATTGATCTCTTTGATTGTTCATGATATCCATGATTTGGGAATATGCCTACCGACGTGTTCCTGCCGCTGAACAATTGCTTGGATTCAAACCTATCCAGTATGTCTATGATGGACACTCATTGGTCTCTTTGATTGTTCATGGTATTCATGATATAGCAATATGCCTACCGACGTGTTCCTGCCACTGAACAATTGCTTGGATTCAAACCTATCCAGTATGTCCATGATGAACCCTCATTGATCTCTTTGATTCTTCATGATATCCATGATTTGGGAATATGCCTCCAACGTATTCCTGTCGCTGAACAATTGCTTGGATTCAAACCTATCCAGTATGTCCATGATGGACACTCATTGATCTCTTTGATTGTTCATGATATCCATGATATTCCCGAATATCATTCATGACATTACATGGGAAAAAAAATGTTCAGGAAACCCCAAATTGTGGTAATCCCTATTGCAAGGCAACCTTAGAAGAAGGTTGCCGGAATCAGCGTAACACACTAAAAAGAACATGGTAAGGGTTACATAACCATCTAGTCCATCTAACTATAAGGAACCAGTTGTTCCAAACCTTGTACATAGTTGTGAATGACCATTTAGAAATTTACGGTCGACTTTTGTAACTACATACGTTATCCTTATGTCCCCATCAGTGTTCTCATACGTTTGCTACCTTAAGTCATAAAATGTGATTTAATGGGCAAAAGGGTGGTTTCTCGATGATCACATCCCTTTTCCCTCTTCGTCATCGAGGTCTAGGCTGTTGTCATTAAACGTAAGGAATAATAAAGGGTCTTATAAGTAACCGAGCTGTCCGCATCGCCTCCTCCACTCCCAGAGTGTTCTAACTTGTCGAACAATAGTCCGGACCCTCTCGTTCCTCATATCAAAGCCTTCAAGAATTGGACATCGATGAAAATATCAGAGCCTTCAAGAATTGGACCCAGTCGAAAAGTGTCTTTTCGATCATCGAACTTCTTCTTGCCCAACCTCGAGGATGGGCAAGTGCCTCGAAGAGCCCTAGGTGGAACTCCAACCTTGTAGGACAGGACGCCGTCCCCATTACGGCAACCGCAAGGGAACTTCATTACGATCGTTACGAATACAGAGCCGGAATGCCGGTAACATGATTAGCTTGCACGGTAACGCGATTACCTTGCCCGACCGAACGAGGGCAAAGAGTTACCCCCCTCGTCGTGTTTGCGACGCTCGTAATGGCAGGAGATGGACCAATTCCAAACCCCTCCCCCCCCAGGGAGAAAAATCGATGTTGCGGGTTCGATCGATGGAATTCGATTAATTATTCATTATCATAGGACACATTCCCAAGGTGCGCCCACCCTTATCATGGGTAGGTGGGGCCTCCAACAGAAACAATGTATTTTTATGTTAGGAGCTGATGGGGGGTAAGTGATTTCTGCATAGTCGGTGGCCAGGTCGTCAATTACATCCCAGTCATCACAATGGCCTAAGGATGTCTAAAAGATGGCGAATTTGGATTGATGTGGGTAAATGATTTCTGTATAGTCGGTGGCCAGGTCGTCACTAGACTAAAGGATGTCTAAAAGACGGCGAATTTGGTTTTAAGGGGGTAAATGATTTCTGCATAGTCGGTGGCCAGGTCGTCAATTACATCCCAGACATCACAATGGCCTAAGGATGTCTAAAAGATGGCGAATTTGGTTTGAATTAATGTACAAAAACGACAGGTGGAGTATGCCATTTGGTACAATACCCAATATAATTCGACCCAGCTGTCGATATAAAAACGAACGTCGCCAACGTAGGCATTTAGAAAGATCTTTTCTTCATCGACGTCGATGAAGTTCCTCGACGTGTTTCGCTTCACCTCAAGAAAAAAACTGAAAGAAATCAAGAATTCCATGCACGGCTTCGATACCGAAATGTAAGTAGATAAGTAGTTGGTGAATAATCATTGTTTACCTTGTAGTGTCGTTTCTGAAGTCGGCCATTTCTTCTATTCGAAGCTTTTAATATTTATAGGTGTCGTTGTTATGTATGGAAAGTGTCTCGCATATTTATGAGTGAAGTTTGCGAAAAGGGGCTTAAGAGAAAACTGAAAAAGGAATCTAGAATGCCATCCACGCCTTCGATAACACGCACGGGTGCCATCGGCGCCATCTCGCGGAGGCGCGTCGAACGAAACGGTCGAAGCTTGTTTCTCGAGTGGACCGAAGTTAATTCCAAACTCGTATTCCTCGGCTGCAATTTAGCACGTTTCAGCCCGAAGATGCTCCCCTCGGAGTCGCGAAGTTGCTGAATTAAATAACCCCGAGGAAGAAGTTCCCAAGGGGAGAAAGAACTCGGATAATCGAGCCGAAGGATACGAGATTGTTAAGCCTGGACTATGATTTCTTCGAGATTTTATCCCTAAGACATTTTAATGATAGAGCTTAACGACTTTGCATCGCTGCCTCCATTTCCACCCCCTTTCTGGACATAACATTTTAAACACGGATTTCATATAATTTGGATAGGTACCTCGTACTCGTGGAAATTTGGATTTTTCGACTCTAATGGATTCCCTGACGTTAGGGAAATTCAGAGCCCCCCAGAACCTCGAAAGCGTTAAAATGACCATCTTCGAATTTTTTTTCCATGGCTTAGGGTCCTCGCAGTGGCTTGCATTAATTTGTACAAGTAAATCGAGGGGAGTACTTATGCTGAGAATTTTTTCGGACCGATACGAGTAGTCCTTGGCAGTGAACAAAATTAAAGTCCTTGAAAACGTTCAGATCTTCCTTTTGACTATCTTCATCATTTTTTCTCTGTGGCTCAAGGTTCCAGCAGGATCTTAAATTAATTCATGGACATACCCTAAGGATAGTACTTGAACTCAGAATTTTTTTAAACCGATAGGACTTGGCCTTGATAGTTAAAAAAAATTCAGAGCCTCCCAGAACCTGAAAAACGTTAAAATGGCCATTTTCAAAATTTCTCTATTTTTTCTTAACAGCTCTGGCTCTTGTAAAAAAAATCGCACAAGCGTCTACATTACAGAATCATCCCAATAGACTTGTTAATTTTGTTTGTGCCTCAAACTGGAGTCCAGGTTCACACAGCCCGTAGTTTATCCTGACACTTTGATAAAACTACGCCTTTATTACTCGTACTAAGTGATCGGTACAAACCACGCCCATATTAGGTTAGGTTAGGTTGGATTAGGTTGAATTAGGTTGCATTAGGTTGCATTAGGTTGCATTAGGTTGCATTAGGTTGCATTAGGTTGCATTAGGTTGCATTAGGTTGGATTAGGTTGCATTAGGTTAGGTCAGAAAACGGATGCAGCCTCAAAACACACTTCTTTCAGAATTCCTGGTAAGTTAAACAAATTTCTTTCTTCACATGGGTATCTTGAATTGCATTATATCGTTGTAAATGAAATACATACAAATCAATTATCAGATAATGGAATTATGGGGCTTAGCAAGGCACTACCAGCAACAAAAAGAAAAATCCGAATCTAGACCATGTGCAGTTAAATTGTTTAAATAGAGGCGGAAGGCGAAGAAGCGTTTCCGCGTATTCGCATTCTCGTTCGCGCATTAAACGACCGTGGGAATAATCTTATCATTCGTATCAATACACTTAGGTTCTTGTATTCATCAACCTGTAAGTTGTTGGGCGATATAGCTAACCTGCAGTTTCCATTCAAGCTCCGAAACATGCGAACCTACAGCGGGCCATTGGTCGCCATTTTGGTAATTTGGTACGTGACGTCACACACGGGATTTTTCGACACTTAGTAGCAGAAAATATTTTCCCTCCTACTATCTATGTATACATTTCACTAATATCGTACACTTTGTAAATATTTACCCAACGTTTGAAATATTTGCAATGCACTTAATAATGTTATTTTAACGATATTTGTTTAATATTAGATCCACGTGTTTTCCTGATATTTTTCTTACATACATACGAAACATTTCCTTTAATTTTAACATAGATCTTCTTTAAATATTACCTGCCGAATTCATTGTAAACATTTTTAAAAATATTTATGATCAAAGTCAGATTTTTTTTGCTACAGTAATGAAGTGGCGGAACGAAAATATTGCAAATATTTGTCATGCACTTTTTACACCGAATGAAGTGTCCGATAATAATTGTAAAGTATAAAATGTACTTTCATTATATGTTTATAAATTTAAAAATTAACTTCCGTATATGTTTATGTATTATTAAAACTGAATATGTCATTGAGATTTTCAAGAAATATTTTCGATATCTTCGAACGAAATCCACAAGACATCTTAAACAATCTAAAGATTGAGATATTCAGCGAAGATAATTAAAAAATATTTAGAAAATATTTTATGCTACTAGGGTTCTTTTAAACAATTATTGCGTACTCTTTAATTACTCAAAAGTCCGCTTAAGGGATTATTTTTAAATGAAAGTTTGTATTTGTTTCCAGCTTACCAAGATACTGTATTTGCAATAATGAGAATAAAACTGACTATTTGCAATTTCCGGAAGGTTTCATATTAGGCGCAGCTTCATCGGCTTATCAAATCGAAGGAGCTTGGAAAGTAAGCGGTACGTTTAATTAGGCCAAAGAAAAATCCTGGAAAATTCATATTGGGTTATGAATATTTTTGTCATTTATTTCAGACAAAGGTGAAAGCCAGTGGGATTATTATGCACATAAAGGCAATACCATTTACGATAACAGTACTGGTGACATAGCCTGTGATTCGTACTACAAGATCAAGGAGGATGTGGCTTTATTGAAAAAATTAGGCGTAAGACCGTGCAATTTTTACTCACATGCATTTCTATATAAAAATGTTCATGTATCAGTACACATGCTTTATAAATTACACAGAGATCTCGTTCATGAAACTTTTCGCCAAACTGAATGAATTCGAATCGCTTGAAACTTTGACAGCGTGAATATGGAGGCTGTAAAGAAGATCCCGACACCCATGAAATTTCATAAACTTTCAAATTTGTTTATACACATTTTAAATTATCGTATAAAAAATTTAATTCCGTGTATGTCAGGACCTTCTGTATAGCCTCCATATTCACATTGCAAAGTTTGAAAGGATTCGATACACCCAATTTGGAGAAAAGTTTCATGAACAGTTGACCTGTCAGCGATGCGTAACGCTTTTTCGTTTCATTTAATCTTTTCTAGCATTTTACTCTTGAAATGTATGCTCGGGCGTCGCATAAAAAGTTCTACTTCAAAAAGTTCATATCCACATTTATTCCAGTTCCACACAACAAAACACCATATACCACATAGACACACGTACGGCGAGGGGATACATTTCAATGTGTTACGCTTTTTCGTTTCAACTAACCCTTTCCAGCATTTTTCTCCTCAAATGAAGGCTCGGGCGCCGCATAAAAAGTTCTACTTAAAATATTAGGACGTCAAGGATGAAATTTGTAGAAAAAGAGGCAAAGTTGATTAACAATTACCAAATTTCATCCTCGACGACCAGATAGTTCATATCCCCTTTTCTTCCAGTTCGACACGTACCGCTTCTCCTTGAGCTGGGCGCGGATATTGCCCGGAGGTTTTGCAAATAAGGTGAGCAAAGATGGTCTCGACCACTACAAGAAGGTGGTGGACGAGCTTTTGGCGAACGGCATCGAGCCCATGGTGACCATATACCATTGGGACCATCCCCAAGTGCTGGAGGAGTACGGAGGCTGGCAGAACGAGAAGATGGTCGACTGGTTCGCCCAGTACGCCAGATTAGTGTTTCGGGAATTCGGGGACAAGGTGAAGATGTTCGCGACCATCAACGAGCCTACTGTCATTTGTCTGATGGGGTACGGCATGAGGAAACACGCACCCGGGAAGACCCTACCAGGCATTGGGGACTACAATTGCGTCCACAACTTATTGAAAGGCCATGCAGCAGCCTATCGGATATACGATAAGGAGTTTCGGCCAGCCCAAAATGGCAGGATCGGCTTGGCTCTGAACCTGGTGGCGCATTATCCAAAGACTATGAAGGACATCCTGGCTGCCGAGATAGCCCATCAGTTTAAGAACGGATGGACCCTGCATCCGATATTCTCCAAAAAGGGAGACTATCCCTCCACCATGAAGACTATTGTTGGCATCAGGAGCAGCGTGGGTGGATACCCTACCTCGAGACTTCCAAAGCTTTCTCAGGAATGGATCGACACCATTAGGTAGTGCGTCATTTCTAACTTTAACTAATAGGGAAAAAGAGCTGATAGGGTAGTGATAGGAGCTGGGTGGATGCCCCACTTCGAGACTTCCAAAGCTTTCTCAGGAATGGATCGACACCATTAGGTAGTGCGTCATTTCTAACTTTAACTAATAGGGAAAAACAGCTGATAGGATAGTGATAGGAGCTGGGAGGATACACGATAAAATCTGCGTCAGGATTAAATATCATCACGTGTATGTATTTTATATAAAATGCTAATCTTTTTCCAGAGGATCTGCCGACTTTTTAGGAATTAATCAGTATTCCGGCAATATCGTAGAATTTGGCACGGAGGGCTCTGATCCGTCCTTTATCCGAGACCAAGGTGTCATTATCTCGACGGACCCATCCTGGGAACAATCAGCTTCTGACTGGCTATCAGTAAGCAATTATTACCAATTACACGATCTCAGTTACTCATTTTCCGGCAGAAAGTTCCACAACGCCTAACAATGAAATCTGAGATGACCATATACATTACCCCTCGCATTAGGTGGTGGGAAAAGTAATGACGCATTTTCCTACCATATGACAGGGATAAAATGCGCCATTACTTTTCCGACCATGTCCATTACCTCTCGCATTAGGTAGCCGGAAAAGTAATGACGCATTTTCCTACAAGATGATATAGACAAAATGTGTCATAACTTTTCCGACAATCTAATAGTTCGGGATAGTGCCACTTGACAGTACCTCATTAGCATGGAATAATTTCTAATTATCTTCTCTAATCATTCCTAAATATCTCAAGCGACAGATTTATTAAGACGTCCCTTGGATTTCATTTAAAAATATCTGAAATGTTTGTTGAAAGTCTCGATGATATATATAGTTTTAATCATTTATGAACATATCTCGAAACCCTTTAACATTTAATTTGGAATTTTCAGATCGTGCCAGAAAGTATGGGTGACATACTTCGGAAAGTCGCGAAAGAGTATAACAATCCGGTAATTTATATTACCGAAAATGGCTTATCAGACTTGGGTGAGATAGATGATGATAAGAGAATAAAGTATTATCGGGAGTACTTGAAGCAGATGCTGTTGGCTGTTAATCGAGATGGTGTAAACGTTAAGGGATACTATATATGGTCATTTCTCGATAGTTTCGAGTGGGACCGAGGATATAGGTTAGTATATGAAATCATGAAAAAATTAATAACCTCTTTCCTAATGACTAAATAATTCCTAAATATTTTTTTTTGTAACCATTATTATTTCGGAAGATATCTAAACTACGTCTTGATGCTATCTTGATTTTAATCTGGGATAAATAAATATATATTTTTTTAATGACACCTCATGAGTATCGAAAGCTTCCTTAAAGCCTCCATTTTCATTTAATTTTCCAAATAAATCAATGCACCAACTTAGGAAGAAAATTTTCTAAATAATTTAATACTTCAGAAACTACATTCGCATTATTGTAACGTGCAATATCTCTTTTTTTTCAGTGAACGCTTTGGTATAGTTAGTGTAAACTTTACCGATCCGAACCGCAGAAGGACTTTGAAAAAGTCAGCTCTTTGGTGGGAAAATATTCTAAGGACGCGGAGATTGGATTCTTGAATTCATATCAATGAACTCTACCGGACTCTACTTGGACACTTCAAGTTCTGAACACTTCACATTTGTTGTCTCAGTGTACATGTGACATATTATAAAAACCACGTGCTCATATAAAAAGGTGTTAATATTTAAAAATATTCCCCAGAATGTCATGAACAATTATATGAAATATCCCCTATCGACGCACAGATTGGATCCTTCAATTCATATCAATGAACTCTATCGGACTCTACTTTGAACACGGAGCCATTTCATATGGGCGAAATTCGTTTGACCGTGCAGGCAAAATTGGACCAAACGTCGAGCGCCTTTAGACGATCTTAGTAGCCAATGGACTAATTCCAGTTCATACAAAAAGATATTGATATTTTTGACGATTTCCAACAATGTCCTAAACAATGATATGAAATATGTCCTATCGACATCACCGCCAATCGTTTTCCCCTACATAGCAGGAATGTATCACTGACATTTCATAAACTAGATGTTTATTAACTTTTATTGAAACGTCAAAACTAATCCAGCAAAAACTACAAATTGATATCTATCGACACGTCCTGCGGAAAATCCAAGGGAATCGAGCAGAGTATTGTTTTAATTCCAGCCTGTCAGGAGTCGAGATCGATTCGATTGATACGACGATAGCAGATGTATACATATATGGGGACGAGTGTCAAAAGTGTCATCTCGTGACACCAGGTCACTAGAAGTGTCCCCGACTCGATTGAGAACCTGCTGCACTTGACTCGATATGAATCACTATCGTCCCTGTTTTTTTTTTATGCGCCAAATCGCAATTGCACGACGAAGTAATGGAACCAAGAAATTGGACTAATTAAGAGGATATGAAAGAGGCATTCTATATATATAAAATGATAAAATTATACGAAACGCGAGACTTCGCGCCCAGTACGCCAGATTAGTGTTTCGGGAATTCGGGGACAAGGTGAAGATGTTCGCGACCATCAACGAGCCTACTGTCATTTGTCTGATGGGGATTAGGTTGNTGTTGTCTCAGTGTACATGTGACATATTATAAAAACCACGTGCTCATATAAAAAGGTGTTAATATTTAAAAATATTCCCCAGAATGTCATGAACAATTATATGAAATATCCCCTATCGACGCACAGATTGGATCCTTCAATTCATATCAATGAACTCTATCGGACTCTACTTTGAACACGGAGCCATTTCATATGGGCGAAATTCGTTTGACCGTGCAGGCAAAATTGGACCAAACGTCGAGCGCCTTTAGACGATCTTAGTAGCCAATGGACTAATTCCAGTTCATACAAAAAGATATTGATATTTTTGACGATTTCCAACAATGTCCTAAACAATGATATGAAATATGTCCTATCGACATCACCGCCAATCGTTTTCCCCTACATAGCAGGAATGTATCACTGACATTTCATAAACTAGATGTTTATTAACTTTTATTGAAACGTCAAAACTAATCCAGCAAAAACTACAAATTGATATCTATCGACACGTCCTGCGGAAAATCCAAGGGAATCGAGCAGAGTATTGTTTTAATTCCAGCCTGTCAGGAGTCGAGATCGATTCGATTGATACGACGATAGCAGATGTATACATATATGGGGACGAGTGTCAAAAGTGTCATCTCGTGACACCAGGTCACTAGAAGTGTCCCCGACTCGATTGAGAACCTGCTGCACTTGACTCGATATGAATCACTATCGTCCCTGTTTTTTTTTTATGCGCCAAATCGCAATTGCACGACGAAGTAATGGAACCAAGAAATTGGACTAATTAAGAGGATATGAAAGAGGCATTCTATATATATAAAATGATAAAATTATACGAAACGCGAGACTTCGTCATGACTTAAGGTGATATGAAAGAGTTACATATAAGAGTATATATATACAATGATTATTTCATTGAACCATTTTTAAAATACCTATAAACAAATTTGAAAAGAATTGAAATTTCATGAGTTTCAGGACCTTCCTTATAGGCTCCCTATTCACGTTGTAAAGTTTTAAACTATTCGGTAAATCGAGTTGGGAGAAAAGTTTTATAAACAATACCTCTTCGATGCCACTTTCACATAACCTTAAAAAAAGAACTGGCTCCTTCCAAATGATCCACCTATACCTGAAAAGGGACACATAAGAACAGGCAAAGTAGAAGATTGAAGAAACACCAGGAAGTCCTCAGATACCTTGAAGTGGCCCATCTAAAGCTGAAAGGGAACAAAATGGTACAAGCGAAACCATCGGGAAAGCCAGAAAGAGACGGGAATGAAAGAGCTAATAACTTGCTAAAGTGACCAAAAGCCAAGACTATTTCGCAGGACATCGATCTCGTACAATTGATCCAGGAGAGATATATTCAATTGTACATTGCTTGGCGTGAGAAAAAAAAAAATCTAGAATATTTATCAGACTTAAAGGTAGACTCGAGAAAATCTCGTGAAAACGACAGTTCACAGTCTCTTTCCGTCAATCCCGACAAAATGACATAGAGAAAAAATATGAGGGACAAGGTGGCGAAAAAAATTGATGACTGTCCATTCGAAAGAATGGAAGGCCATCGTAGTTGCCCTCTTCTTAAGGGGCCGCTTCGGCATATAGCCTCTTCGACTCTTGCAGTCTCTTCGGGCAGAGCCCCCTACGTCTCGAACGCTTGGCAATCCCCTGATTTTTCGGATTAAAAAAGAAAAAAAAAAGAATCACTCCGCGAGCAGATCTAAAAGCTAGCAAAACGACGACCTGCGATCCGAGGATGCGCAGTCCGTTCGTATTGCACATTTACCCGGATTCCCAAGCGCGGTCTAATTGATTTCATTCCTGAAAGAAAATTGTCATAATCGCGGGCGTCCGGGAGTACCCTGAGCGAATAATTTACTTTCCATCCTGCAACTAATTCCTCGCGGCGATCCAGACGTTCCATATTGAAGAAACTTCACGATTCGAGTAAATTTGATTTTGTAAGAATCAGAGAGGACAACTCGTTAACATCCGGCGGAAGGGATTTCGTGAAAATAATTTTACGTCCAAAGTTGGTCCGAAAATTTTCGGAAAATCGGTAAAAAAAAATGTATCGCGAGAATTCTTCTTTCTGGAAAGTTATTTTTTCTCTCGGAGTAGAGTTCCGGACGCAGGACGAACATCCTCCGCCCTTCCAGAAGGGCGAACGATGTAATGGTATCCCAGGTCCGGGATCTCTCCCCAAACCCCCGGGAAGAGATCCCGCCCTGGCCCTGCCTACTTAAATCTACACATTCGCTCTCGAAAATTATCCTACCTCCCTAGCTATATTTAAAAAAATCAACCTCATTCTCTCCAACACATTCACTCCACGATTCTCACTCAT